CTTCCTTCCTTCCTTCCTTCCTTCCTTCCTTCCTTCCTTCCTTCCTTTTTTCCTTCCTTCCTTCCTAGACTAAACTTATGGCAGAACTTGACTAGTGAAGGCAGATATACCAGCCCTTGCCTTGTTCAGCATCAAGGTTTTGATGGGGTGTTTGGGTACTTGTGCTTGTACTTGGACCTCAATTTCTCCCTAGTCTCAGAAACACTGTCTCTGACAATCACTCCCCAGCCCAAGGACACTGTGCCTAGCAATTACTCATGGGTGGGCCCCAGCACGACCCTTATCTCTCTTCCTGGTGCAGCTACACAAAGCTGGATGAGAGAGTGCTGGGCTGCTCAGGCCCCAGCCCTCAGATCATGTCTCTGGAAGCCTCCTAATTCCTTAGTAAGTTCCTGTCTTGTGAGAAAGCTTTCCCTTGTTGCAGAGGATTCTTTCATCAAGACAGAGGGAGAGGGGTGCCTTGCCCAGCCCAAGGAGTTTTGTCCTTGGCCAGCCCAAGGACTCTTCCTCCTACCAGACTCCCAATACCTCTTTCATCTCCCTCCCTGTCCAGTATACTTCCTGTACTTTCTCATCCATAGCTCCCAAAAACACCTGGACCTTTAGATTACCCCATCAGTGTCCCTGGCATTCCTTTCCCATGCCCTTTTCCATATAAACCCTAGCTCCATCCTCAGTCTCTTGCAGGTTCCTTAAGAATCCTTGCCTGCTGAAAAGCGTAACAATAAAACTTTGCCACCTTATCTTAAAGAATGCTTGAGTCTGTGAATTCATTTCAGACAACCCCTCCTGTACTCCGGTCTTTGAGGGGTCCCAACCTCTCAGACTGCAACAGTTTGAACCCAAGTGACCAATATTGTTGTGTAATGCTGCCATGGCCATAGAGGAAAAAACCACAGGTTGTATCAACTTCTTCCTGGTAGCATATGTAGGATCAATTACAGACCAACACAACATTCCATTGCATAGCTCCAACTTATTTTTTTTAATAACATTTTATTTTTTCCTCAATTACATGTTAATTTTTTTTTAACATTTTTTAAAGTTTTGAGTTCTAAATTCCATCCCTCTCTCCACTTCCCTTCCCCCAGATGGTATGCAATCTGATATAGGTTATACATGTGCAATCATGTAAAACATTTCCATATTAGTCATATTGCACAAGAAGAGAGAGAGAGAGAGAGAGAGAGAGAGAGAAACAGTATGCTTGAGTCTATATTTGGATAGTATCAGTTCTTTCTCTGCAGGCAGATAGCATGTTTCATCATGACCTGGATCATTGTGTTGCTGAGAATAGCTAAGCCATTCATAGTTGATCTTCACACAATATTACTGATACTGTGTAAAATGTTTTCCTGGTTCTGCTCACTTCACTATGCATCAGTTAATGTCTTTCCAGGTTTTTCAGAAATCATCCTGCATGTCATTCCTTATAGCACAATAATATTCCATGACAATTATATACCATAACTTATTCAGCCATTTTGCAATTGATAGGCTTCCCCTCCATTTCCAATTCTTAGCCACTACAAAAAAGCTGCTATAAATATTTTTGTACAAAGAGGTCCTTTTCCCTTTTTTAAAACCTTTTTGGGATATAGACCTAGTAGTGGTATTTCTGGGTCAAAGACTATGCACCATTTTCTAGTCCTTTGGGCATAGTTCCAAATTGCTCTCCAGAACATTTGGATCAGTTCACAACTCTACTAACAGTGTATTAGTGTCCCACTTTTCCTACATCCCCACCAACATTTATCATTCTCCCTTTTTTTTTGTCATATTAGCCAATCGGATGGGTGTGAGGTGGTACTTCAGCATAGCTCCAACTTCTGTCATTATCTCAACAATAAAACGCTCCCTAAGGCGTCTTTGGGTCTCCAAAGGCAATTGTTTGTTTCATGGTCTATTTCACTTCTTACCACACTTCATCATGAAATTACTTTTTCCACCAGCCATATAAGGGCAATTGAGGCCAAGAGAATCACCCTTACTGATGACATATCCTCTGACATGCATATCAAACTCTCAGTTTCATGGCCATTGACTTTTGGTCCAGCTCCCTAGGTATTATGGATATATTTCATCCCTTCTAAGGTTTTAACCATAGTCTTGGCCTATGGGAAAAAGAAATTACCTCCACATTAGTCTTCCCTGGCTGACAATGTATACTGAACTTAGACTTTATTGCTTAATAGTTATTGCTACTACTATCCCTCTCTGAAAGGCAACATCTAATGTTTCAGTGTTCAAGAGAAAGGTCAATGGATTGCTGTCTGTCCATATTTTAAATTTAATTCTTTTTCTATAACTTTGAATTTCTCACTGATAGCTGACTTTGAAGTCAAGAACTCTGCATATGGAATAACAAGTCTCTCTGTCAGTAAGTCCTCCATTGGCAAATGGAGTAGGTTTCTGGATACCATCACTGACAATACAGGACTGTTCATAAACCCTCTGGGCTAGCATCAGTGTGTATAACAAAGGACTTGTTTGGGTTTTCGTGGGACAACACTGGGATGTTTGGGAGGCAGCGTATCAATTCCTTGAACTGTGTTTACACTTCTCATCCCAATGATTTAATGTCTTTCTTTTGTGAGAGAAAGAGCAGCAGAAGAGAGAAAGACTTGGGCTGACTAAAAAGTCATTGGTGAAAGGGTATAGAATCACAAAAAAAAAGCCAAAAGGAGAATATGAAGAAGAGAGTTTTAGAGTAATTTGGGAGAATTTGAGGGAAACTTGAAACACAAAAATCCTTAGGTCAAAATTACTCCTACATTCTGTGAAAGAAGGTTCACAGAGTAAGAACAGGAGCAGAGAAGATAAAGAAAGATTAAGAAATAAATATACGAAGAGAAATACTCAAGGAGAAAGAAAAGGAGACAGTATTTGGTAAGGCAAGACAAGAAAAGGTAAGTGGAACAAATTGGAGGGTAGATTGTAGAGTAGATTGGTGGATGGGGCAAATTGTTGAGACGGATAAGAGGCTGGTGTGATGGAGTTGGAGAGGAAAGGTATAATATTGCTGTGGAGTTGTTGAATCTAACAAAGGGAAGTTAGGTGATAATGATATCAAATTATTAGGAGGTTATGATAGACCAGAAAAGATTTAAAGAGGCAATTAACTGTGATATGTAACTATCTGAATGTAAATTAAAAAAAAAAACCCGATAAAGCTAATGAGCTCAATCAGCATGGAGAATGAGTCTTAATTTCTCAGTAACTTACACAAACATGAGATGTTTGTGTTTCTCTTGTAGCCTTAGAAGTGCTTTCTATGTTCTAATTGTAGGCTGCTTTCCTTCCTGGAAGAGAAGGTGAAGGCACTCAAGGAGTCCTCACCTGAGGTTATTAGGGACAATGAAGTATTCCCGAAGGAAGAGTAAACAGTGGTTTTTAAGTCTTCAAAAATTTTTCGTTTTTATAGTATTGATCATAGTATAAGTTATTCTTTGGGTTCTGCTTATTTCATTCTGTGTCAGTTCATACAGGTCTCTCTATGTCTCTTTTAAATAATCTAATTTCCTCATTTCTAATAGCACAATAGTCCTCTATCATATTTATATACTACAGTTTGTTCAGCCATTTCCTAATTAATGAGAATCCATCTAATTTCCATAGTTGTTGTTTTTTTTTTGCCACCACAAACAGAGCTTCTAAAAGTATTTTTGTGTATAGGATCATTTCCTCTTTCTTTGATTTCTTTTGGTCATAGACCTAGCAGTGACATAGCTGGGTCAAGGAGGGGTATACTGTTTAGTAACTTGTTAGTGTATAACTTCAAATGTATTTACATAATGACTGTGTTCATTCACAGGTCTGACAGCAGTGCATCAATGTGCCTGTTTTTCCATAGCCTCACCAACATTTGTCATTTTCCATTTTTGTAATTTTTGTCAATCTGTTGAATGTGATGTAGGACTTCAGACTCGCTTTAATTTTTATTTTGCTAACTGGTAGTGATTTGGAGTATTTTTTCAT